ATGTGGCAGTCTGCTTCCGTAAAAATTACAGCCTTGGAAACCCTATGGGGCGGTTTCACCCTGTCCTGTAGGGTCGCAATGAGTGGGAATCTACCCGACGGCAACGGGTAAGGAACCTGTTATTCTTTGAAACTGTCACAATTGACCTGATACATTGAGATTTTTAAGAATCTTTCCTTTTTGACTATTCAGAAAAAGATATTTTTATATCAACATCCAATTTGTTACCGTAACTTGTTAGCTGAGAAGTTTCTTAGCTGCTAGAGTTCATTTCTGCCTTGATTCCACCCCCCACTGTCCTCTCCCATAACACTGCCCTGTAAGTGTTCCTTCTTTCCCTTGCATTGTTATCCTCTCCTTCTCTATTGGTTCACTCTCTTCTCCAAAAAACATGCACAAATCCTCTCATCCTAAATGTGTGTGTGTGTGTGTGTGTGTGTGTGTGTGTATACACATATATAGTCAAGCTTCTTAACAGAATGATCTATACTAGATGACTACTTCTTCATGTTCTATTCACTTAACTCACTACAACGTGCCTTCTTCTTACTATGTGAATTGAATTTAACTATTAAAATCAGTTAATAGTTTTATCAAGATACTGTTCTATGTCATCTTCTTTCATATTCACAGTCACCTTTGTGGGCCAGTATTAGTTGCTTTGTACAGTTGGGACGTGAAGGCGCTTGCCCAAGGTCAGACAGAAAAGGGCAGAATATTCAGGTCTTTTGACTATAAATTCCGGGTTTTGTTTTTTTGTTTTTTTCTATAATATCACAGCTGCCTTATCTTTAATCCTTATCCTATTGAACCTATTTTCAGTTCTTGTCTTCATTGAGTCACCTGTCACCATTCTAGAAATTTCTCAGACCTTGTTTCTATGATTCTCTCTCTTTGGATTCACCTTCAAATCTTTGATAGCCATCTCTCTCTTCTACTGGTTTCTTTTCCTTCACCATATTTTGTAAACTCTTTTCACTCATCTTCTATTTTTTTTAATTGAGTGATCTTATCCACTCCTATTACCTCTGCTACTATTTATCTGGTGATTATTTCCAAATATAAATCTTTTCTAGACCTCTCTCCTGAGCTCATGAGAGGTTTTGGTTTTTTATTTTCTTTCTTTTTTTTTTCAACTGCCTAGATATTTTTACCTGGATGTCCTAGAGTTGTCTCAAAGTCGTTCTATCTGAGAACTGACCTCAATATCCTCCCTCACCAGACTTCCCTTTCTACCCCCTCAGTCACATGAACTAGAAGTGGTGTCACTTTTGCCTCTTCCATTTTCTTCATCCTCAAATATAATTGGCCACCAATTCCTATTAGTTCCACTAAAGTATATTTTAAGTCTTCCCCCTTCAGTCCATTCCCGCTGCTACTGCTCAAATATGGAGTTTCAGCTTCTCTCTCTTGGAACTTTCAAACAGGTCTCCCTTTCTCATGTTTTCAGGTCTAATCTGCCATACCCCAAAACTCTATATGAAACACAAAGGCGCACACACACATACCCCTCAGAATTGTTTCCTTGAGCACTCCTCTGCCTAAAAGCCTTTAGTGATTTCCCTGTTGCCATCAAAGCAAAGTCCAAATACCCTAGCATTCCAAGGTAAGAACTATGGCAATCTAGTTCCATCAAACTTTTTTGCCCTTACTGCTAGTCCACACTCTCCTCCCACAGTGGAGCTGATGATTCAGTTTCATTTTCTCTCTTCTTTAATGATTTTTAAATATCCAATTCCTTGCTGAAATTTTTCTCTGCATAGAGTCCACTTCCCCCCTTCCAATCTTCCCATACACACAACTCCACCACATTGTTATTTTCCTTCAAGGATATGGGTTAAAATATTAACATCTGTGTGAGGCTGTCCATAATTTTCCTTACTGGTTCTAGAGTAACTAATCACTCTCCTTTATTCTCCAATAGCATTTGCTTATACTTTATTGTATCTCTTATTACACTGAATAAGACACAGTTGCAAGTAAATCTTTTTCCCTTTTAGAATGGGAATTTCTTGAAGGCTGGGATCATGCTTTATTTCTGTATCCCTAACTTTTAACCTGTTGCTTGGAAAATAAAAAGTACTTTGTTGAAAGAACATCCTCAATTATAAGCTCGCCTTAATGCCAGTTATGAGTTCTAAATTATGGTTCAAACAGTTTGGTGATCATTTTCTCCAGGCAATTTGCCCTGATCGCTCCCACTCACAGTGAGTTAGGTGCTCTCCTTTGAATTTACCTGTCTTAACACTTATCACTTGGTATTGTAACTGTCATATGTAATATGGAGCTCCTAGAGGGCATAGACTATAACTTTCACACAGGTCCAGGCATTGTGACACTTACTAGCAATTGCTAAACATTTATTGAATGATAAAGGGATAAATGAATGGAATAAATAACCAAGATGATACCAATTTTTTTTAGTTGTTTTTAAATTCTGAATAAATAGCTTCTCTGAATTCAAAAAATTATAGGACAGGCATGGCTGAACTGAGAAATTATCCATTCTCATCAACAAACATTAATGAAAAAAGATTATTTATCTCATTTTTTAGAAAAAGCTTTTCCTAACCTGTTAGATGGCTGATAAGAAAATGTGAAGGGATTGGGAGGTCCTTATACATAATTAAGTAGCTCATTTCTTGCAGATACTTCAATAATTCATATTTGAAATATACTTTTTTCAACAAAATTGGCTTTTTAGATACCTCCATTTGAAGATTTCCCTTTCTGGGATCTTAAGAGATTTGGGGGTTCTATACTTTGTGAAGTCAAAATTAATAATGGGTTATGTACGTACATGGAGAAAATTAAAATCACTATCCTAATATGAAGTAAAGTCTTACTGCTAAAATGGAAAGGGACTTTTATTTGATTGAAAACTGGAGCAGGAGAAAGAGAATAGATGTGGAGAGTAAAGTGAAAGAGATGAGAAAAGAAATGTTATATAGTCCATTTGCTTTTTTCCTCTCCCATGTGTCCTCCAGCTCTCCTTTTTAACATGATGCCTCCGAAAGGTGGAGGTGAGTACTAAGTAAGACTAAGTGAAGACAGAGATGATAGCTTACCTTGTAGAGGATGTGAGAAGTTTAGGCATACTGGACCTTTGTTTTTCTCCACTTGCCTGTGAACCTGGCTAGGCGCCCTGAAGGAACATGCAATGTACCTGTTAGATCCTGAGCCCGTTTAAGATTGAGCCTCAAAGTTAAAGGGAACTTCATGCTCCAGATTGTTGCCTGTCTGAAACACAGAGGCAATTCAAGCATAGTTGTGGTCCTAGAAAATGTGTTGTTTGTAGAGGAGACTGCCTCACTGTTTTTAAATGAGAAGGGGTTTTAAAATTTTAAGCTGTTAAATAGCTCAAATCAGGAGAACATCTTGGCTGTACAGAGCAAAACACTAAAGTAGGATTAGGATTGCGAGTAGAATCAAGTCTTGTGTGAGATATAGCGGTAGAGTCAGAATAGTAGGTGGACTGCATAAGACAAGAACCATTCATTTATTTATCCAACAAGTATATCTTCATTATCTTCTCTATTCAAAACATTGGGAAGAATATATTAAAGATGAGAGGGAAAATGTTACAATTCTGGGTATTAATGCTGGTTATGCCCAAGGAGGAAACACTAAGCATACTGAATCAAATGGAGTAAAATCCTGGCTTCCTCTTTTGTAGCTATTAGACTCACTAGATTAATAGTTTAAAAAATTGTTTCCCAGAGTGCTGAGATTCTTTGGAGGTACACCAGCTACTAAGGAAGATGAGGAAGAAATAGGCTCTCCATTGCCCTCTCACCGCATCAACCCAGACTAGCTCTACTTTTATCTATTGTATGTACTGTAATTTTACATAATTTTTTTTGTGTGTGACCAGAGAAGGGAGGTAACCCTGTGAAAAGAAGTTTGAAAGCCACTCACAAGAGATCTCTAAGATCTCCAGTTTTGAAAATCTATGATTCTATGACTGGCTGACTTAGAACATCCGCTCTAGCTAAGTTTTATAAGTCTGATTAATGCTTTTCTGGCAAATGTACATCTCTAAAACTGAAGGATCAGGTAGTTTCGCCATTTTCGTAAGTTAAGTACATATTGCCATATTTTAAAAGATAGAAACTTTATTTACTAAATAATCTTTGTAGACTTTATTTCTTGAACACGATGTAGATAAAAGTTGTTTAATGTTGAATAGCAGGCATTTAGCCAGATACCTTGCTTGTACTTGGACCCCTTTTCATCTAAGGCATGAATATTTGTCAGTATTTACAGTCTAGTTTGAATGTTTTAAATCTCAATATTTTAGGAATCCCATTCTAACCTAGAGACCGGCAGCATAGTTCATATTTTAAGCTGATGTTTTTTATTTTAATACCTTGAATCTCAACTGATATTGCTGAAAATAAAATAAAATTTAGGGCATGTTTGTTAGTGCCAGCATGTAGTAAATTCTCAATAAATGTTTATTGAATTGAAACATCATTATCACATCTCATATTTAATAGCCTTCAGTTTACAAAGAGCTTTCATATATTGTGTATTTCCATGTTATTTTTCAATAACATTGATGACAGAGATTAATACTGTATTTCACTAATGAGAAATTTGAGAACCAGTACAGTCATGAAGTTGCTTCTATCTCACAAACATAGATAGTGTGAGCTTTTTAAAAGACATATAACTTATTTTGTCTCTGACCCATTTCCTAGTTTAATGAGCAAATTTTTATTGAGCTCTTAATTGTATCCTGAGGATAAAACAGACAAAAATCCCTGTCTTCACTGAGTTTGTAAACATCCTTCATTTTCCCTCAGTCTTCAATCTGTGGTCCAGGGATATAACAGCAAGTTTAGAAATGTAAGTAAGTCTTAAAAATGAAAAAGATCAGGCTCCTTATTTGGTAAAACTTTTGTAACTCTAACTTCCTATTGGGATTACATAGCTTATATTTTGAAATTTGATTTTCTAAAATCAATATGAAACTAATCAGGACTTTCCTTAAATAGCAAAACACCGATGTTCATATGGTTAGTGACAGTGATGGAGATGACTTTGAAGATGCTACAGAATTTGGAGTGGATGATGGAGAAGTTTTTGGCATGTCCTCATCTGCCCTGAGAAAATCTCCAATGAGTGAGTATTAACTCTTTGGGTCCAGCATTGTAGTTTTCCTTTCTAATGGACAAATTTGTGGGCGGAGGGGGGACTTAAAAATCTCTTACTGAACTCCAGGTTTGGAGAGGTAAAATATAGTGAATGAGCATTCTTCATTATAATCAGAGTCTCTTGAGTTTTGATTTCATTAAGCCCAGTGATTCCCATTGCTTTAGTAAAATTCATGAAAAATGCAAGGGAACATAATTTTTGTTTCACGTGAGTAACTAGTTATGGCTCTCTCTTTGCTGTAAGTCTAGAGGTTGATTAACAGCTGTATTTTCTGTGACTGTACTTGCTTCCCCACTTCTTATCAGTTTTAAGAGTAGTAATAATACTTTTCCATTCATTGGTACCCATCTTTTGAAGGAAGAAAAGTAAACTAAATGTGCCATCCCTCTCGCTTCTACCTTAAGAGATACATACTGTAGAATCAATCACAAATGATGCTATATGCAAAATTACCACTAAAATATGCCCTTAAATGGCTCATCTGCTCTGTGAAATTAGGGAACACCTGTGGACAGAAATAGATCTGATATTTACATAAAGATGAGTATTTTCCCAATTAAAAAGATCTTTAAGATATTTTTGTATTCTTTTTATATGATTTAATCACAAGATGTTTATTTCAAGAATTGAAACTCTGATAACTGGCACACATTTTTAATGCTTAGTGGGATTGTGTCAGTTGATTTTCCAAAATTTACAAGCTTGGAATTTTTTTAAGGTTCATCTGGTTCGATGAAATCTTCTAATGTCTGTTAAGTTAAAATGTCCCCTCAGATATATCACAGAAGCTAAAACTTAATTTTATTTCCTTTTTATTGATTATAAATATATTTCTTATATGTGGGATTAGATGTTATGTGGTTTGTTTTTTGTGTCTATTTGTTTTTGTTTTTTGTTTTTGTTTTTGTTTTTTCTTTTGTTTGTTTTTTAGTGCCAGAAAACGCAGAAAATGAAGGAGATGCCTTATTACAATTTACAGCAGAGTTTTCTTCAAGGTAGGGTTAGGATATTAACTATATAAAGTTGATGTTCTTTGATGCTACTGTGATTTTTCTGGGGCAATTTTAATCATAGATTGTTTTAAATTTCTCCTTAAAGTATGCAAAAGATACATTTATGAATTTATATAGTCCTAAAAGTAAAGTACATAGTGTTCAATGTCAGATAACTAGTATACCATTTATACTATTTAGATGTGTATTCAACTTCTCTCTATGTCTTTACAGAGGCTCAAAAAATGGATCACTAATTTAATACCTTGACTATATTCCCAAAAGGACTAGATGTAGGATACTAATTTTTAGTATATCCTAATACAAATAAGTGAACAAACAATCCTTTAAAATAATATTAAGAGAAATTTAATCCAATTTTAGAATATAAGTGAATTTTTTCTTTTAATTTTCGTTTGGAATTGTTTAGCATTTTTCTTTTAAGAGTCCATTATAAAAATGTTTTATATGCATTTGAGAATCTGCTCAAGTGTTTAAATATAAAGATAATTTAAATATTTAACCTTAAATTTTCATAGAAGTGATATTTCTCTTTAATGTTGTTTTCTGAACATAATATAATTTGTTAACTCTGCTAGAAACCATTTTTTCCTCTGTGTTGGATTTCCAGAATGAATGAACTAAAGTAGGAAGTTAAGTTTAATGTAACTAGGAAGATCTTAATTGAAAATGAGTAACCAAGAATTGCTACTTAACAAATGGCATGATTTTGTAGTGCTTATTAAATACATTTGCCAGATGTACTTAAAATTCCAGTGTCTTAATATATCAGTATTGGCCAAAAAGAATTCTAAAAACTAATAAAGCTCATTTCCAAGCCTTTAAAGAAATGTATTAGTTTAGTCTGTGCCTAAGAGACATTAGTTCCAACATTTACTTAAAAGTCATTGGTTAGATTTGTGAAACTTTGAGGTAAATTTGAAAGGTATTGTAATTAATAGACTCAATTTTTTCTATAGATATGGTGATTGCCATCCTGTATTTTTTATTGGCTCATTAGAAGCTGCTTTTCAAGAGGCCTTCTACGTGAAAGCCCGAGATGTAAGTGCACTCTTACCCTTTCTGATTAAAAAGTACAGCCCAGTGGGTTACCACTAGGCCTGAGGCAATACTTAATGTTTCTGTTTTTTTCAGATTGAAGACTTGATTTTATTTCCGATTCATCTACCAAGTAATCACCACCAAAATGCCCTCTTTAAAAGGGCAGTAGTGTGGTAGGGTATGACTGGCTTTTTCAGAAGGCCTTGTCAAGCTCTGAAAACAGGTGTTTTTTTTTCCTGGGGGTTGGGAGAAGGTGGACCTGCTTCAAGGGAATAGGCTACATGTTTGTATTATTTTCAGTTACATGATTAGTAGGCTCTTGCTAGAGGATTTATCTTTCAGTCATTTCCCAAAATAATTACTCCATCTAACAGTATCTATTTGGCAACTACAATAGTTGTTTTTTATTCCTTTCCAAGTCACTTTGGGCAACAAAAAGAATCTTCCTTTAAATATACGGCTTTGTGATCTTGATATCAAGTAGATTAAGTGTATATAAAGAATTCAGAAAGTACATGTTGAGCAAGAAGGTTCTATTTTTACATTCACAAGCCAGTCAAGACCTCAGTAATTGGCTCCTGCCTGTTTGTATAGCTCCAGGTCTTTCCATTCCCTGCCTTGCACTTGATAAATCTAACAGTACTGTACTATTTGTAGTTCTTCCTAATCTTACTCTTTTTTCATACTGTCCCTACTGCCAGGAATGCCTTTCATCCTGTTCTTTACCTGAATGACTCCTGTTCTTCGTCTAAGACTTACCCTTTCCTGATTCTTCCACTTTTCTCACATTGCCCCACCCACCCCATTAATACTTCTCAGTGACACCTTCTGATTATCTTTTATTGTTACACTTAACACATTGTTTGTAATTATCCATTGTATATATGTCTTCCCAGGAAAATTTGCTTTTCTTTTTTACAGGGACTATGTACCATAAGTACCTATACATCATAGAGACTGAACAAATGCTTAATGAATGAAGGATACAAGGAAGGAATAATGCATAGATGGAATAGAGGAGAAAGTTATTGGAATTAAACAGGACAAGGAATTTTGAGGATAGTGTGCAAGATTGCCTCTGAGATTTCTAGATTCTAGTTTATATTAACTCTGATTTAAAGAACAATTCATTTTAAAAAAAATTTAAAAACTGAATTCCAAGGACATCAGCAGAATGACAGAATAGGCAGCTCCAAGTTTCTATCCCTAAACAGAAACATTGAAAAACAAGCAAAAACTATCAGAACCAACTTTTTTCAGAACTCTGTAAAACAGTCAAAAGCTTATAGCAACCAAATACTGAATCAAGGAAAAGTAAACTTAAAAATGGTAGGAAAGCTCTTGGCTCTTTTATTTGCCCTTGCCTCACTACCTCTCCAGCTCTGCATTGGTCTTGAAGATAACAGTCCACATTACCATGTGGAACCCTAGTCTCTGGTTCTGGAGGAATCTCTAAGTTCAGTGTAAGCCTGACTAAGTGCAAGCCTGAAGGAGAGCCCCAGCCAGAATAAATCTACAAAGATTAGAGACTTTTCCCCCTCTTTTTCTTAGCTGTTGGCATTCAAAACACCAGCTAAACACAAACTAAAGGAACAAAGACTTCAATGACCACACATGACAAGGAATGCAGTCTTTGCAAAAATGATTTGAAAAAGTCACTAAACAGACTATTATAGCCTTCAACAAACAAACAACAAACCCTGGGGGACGGAAAGAGTGTGATGTTCAAAATTGCTGTATTATAATGTTCAAATATCAAGTTTCAACAAAAGATCACAAGACATACAAAGAAACGGGACAACATGACACATTTAAAGAAAAAAAATTCAGTGACCAAAAACTGTCCCTGAGGAAGCCCAGATATTGGGCTTACTAGACAAAGAATTTAAAACAAGTGCTTAAAACACAAAGAGCTAAAGGAAATCAGGAAAACAATATATGAATAAAATGATAATATCAATAAGGAGAAATTATAGAAAGGAACAAAACAAGTACTGGAGCTGAAAAGTACAATAACTGAAGTGAAAAATTCACCAGAGGGATTCAACAACAGATATGAGCAGGCAGAAGACAGAATCAGCAGACTTGAAGATAAGGACATTTGAAATTATTTAGTCAGAAGAGCAAAAAGAAAAAAGAAGGAAGAAAGTAAACAGAGCCTAAGGGAACTGTGGACACCATGAAGTGGACAAACGTATGCATTATAAGAATCTTAAAAGAAGAATGGGGGGCAGAAAGAATATTTGAAGAAATAATGGTTGAAAACTTCCAAAATTTGATGAAAGATATAAATTTACACATCTAAAAACCTCACCAAACTCCAAGCAGGATAAACTCTAAGAGATCAGCACCAAAAAACCTTATAATTGACTATCAAAAGCCAAAGACAGAAAGAACTGCCCCATAGTGTTTTCTAGGCTGTAATCATTACAGGAGCAGATTGCCATGTCTTTTCTCTCACAGAGCCACTAGGTGGATTCAAATCACCACCATTTCAGTTAGCAGTCAAGCACTTAACCATTGCATCACCAGGGCTCCTTTTATTTCCTACATGATTTAAAAGACAAATACATTTGAAATAATTATAAATCTAAAAGTATAATTATTATAATTATGTGTTTGGGCACACAATATATAAAGATGTAATTTGTGACAACAATAATATAAAGCAGAGATGGAGCTGTGTAGGAGCAGAGTTTTTGTATGCTATTAAAGTTAAGTTGGTATCATTTCAAACTAGATTATAAATTTAGAGTGTTAATTGTAATCTTTAGAGTAATCACAAAGAACATATTCAAAAAATATACACAAAAGTAAATTAGTAGGGAGTCAAAACTCTTCACTACAAAAAAATCATCTGAACACAAAAGAAAGCAATAATGGAGGAAAAGAACAAAAAAGGCAGAAGACATATGGAAAACAAATAACAGAATGAGAAATAAGTCCTTCTTTATACATATAAATAGATTAAACTCTCTAGTCAAAGGACAAAGATTGGCAGAATGGATTTTTAAAAAAGATGATCCAATTATATGCCGTCTATAAGAAACTCACTTTAGATCCAAAGACACAGATAGATTGAAAATGAAAGGATGGAAACAGATATTCCATGAAAATAGTAACCAAAAGAGAGGTGGAGTGGCTATACTAATATCAAAGAAAATATTCTTTATGTAAACTGTTACACTAGACAAAAAGTGACATTATGTGTCGATAAAAGAGTCAGTTCTTCAAGAAGATATAAAAAATTATACACACGTATGCACCAAACAGCAAAGTCCCAAAATATATGATACAAACATTGAAAGAAGGGAGAAACAGATACTTCTACAATAAGAGAGACTTTGGTGCACAACTTTCAATGATTGATTAAACAACGAGACAGAAGATGAGTAAGGAAATAGAGGACATGAACAACACTAGACCTATGAGAACACTCCACCCAACAACAGTAAGTATACACATTCTTCTCAAGTGCACATGGAACATTCTCCAGGATAGAGCATATGTTAGGCCATAAAACAAGTCTTAATAAATTTAAAAAGATTGAACTCATACAAAGTACATTCTTTGACCACAGTGGAATGAAGCTAGAAATCAGTAACAGAAGGAAAATCAGAAAATTCACAAATAGGTGGAAATTAAACAACACACTATTAAACATCTAATGGGTCAAAAAAATAAATCACAAGAGAAATTGTAAAATACTTAAATATTAATGAAAACAAAAACACAACATACCAGAATTTATGGGATGTAGTGAAGGCAGTGCTCTCAGGGAAATTTATAGCTGTGAATGCCTATATTAAAAAAAGAAGAGAAGTCTCAAATCAGTAACCTAACTTTATACCTTGAGGAACTAGAAAAAAAGAGCAAACTAAACCTAAAGCTAGCAGAAGGAAAGAAATAATAGATGATTAGAGTAGAGATAAATAAAGAATGGAAAGACAGTAGAGAAAATCAATCAAAGCAAAACTTGGTTCTTTGAAAAGATCAACTAAATTGTCAAACCTTTTTTAGATGGACAAAGAAAAAATGAAGATGCAAATAACTAAAACCAGAAATGAAAGTGGGGACATAACTGCGAATCCTACAGAAAGAAAAAGGATTTTAAGAGAATACTGCGAACAATTACACTTCAACAAATTAAAAAATCTAGATGAAATGGACAGACTCATAAAAACACACAAACTACCTTACCTGATTCAAGAAGAAATAGAAAATCTCAGCAGGCCTATACAGAGTGAAAAGACTGAGTCAGTGATCAAAAACCTCCCAACAAAGAAAAGTCCAGGACTAAATGGCTTTACTGGTGAATTCTGCCAAACATTTAAAGAAGACTTAGCAACAACCCTTCTCAAACTCTTCCAAAAAATAGAAGAGGAGGGAACACTTCTTAACTTATTCTATGAGGCCAGCATTACTGTGATTTTACACAATGACGGGCACCTTCTGTGTTTGTTTGCCAGCCGCACCCTTCCCCCACAAGGCATTTTTGTAAGCACGCTATGCTAATTTTTTTACAGCAACATGTGGAAGAGGACTGGCATGGGAGCACTTGTGAGGGTGCCTTAAGGGAAGAAGGTGCGGCTGGCAAACAAATGCAGAAAGCATGCATTATTTGTGTAAAAATATGCTACCGTGCTACAAAAGCCAGGTAAAGATGTCAAAAGAAGAGAAAATTACAGACCAATATTTCTTATTAATATTGATGCAAAATCCCTCAACAAAATACTAGCACACTGACTCCAACAGCATATTAAAAAGGATTGTATACTATGACTAAGTAGGATTAAGAATATCAGTCATTAGAGAAATGAAAATCAAAACTGCAATGAGATACCATCTCACCCCGACATTAGTGGCACTAATCAAAAGAACAGAAAATAACAAATGTTGGAGAGGTTGCAGGAAGATTGTAACTCTTACGCATTGCTGGTGAGAATGTAAAATGTACAACCACTGTGGAAAACAGTATGACACCTCCTTAAAAAGCCAGA